ATAGAGTAAGAAAGTAAATAATACACAATCTATGAAGCAGCAGTCATACATTCTCTCACATATGCCTTCAAGTAAACCAGGCCAGTTGAATTTTCAAAGACCTGCTAATTCAGTTACTTACTACATCACCTATCAAAGTTCCCTAGAAGGAACTCTTTTGAAGAATTCTTTTCTCAGGGCTGGTTCCTTAGACTGGAAGAGCAACAATTACCCAGAAAGAAGAAGCTCTAAGCACATACACCAGAGCAGAGCATGAACAAAAATTACTCATGTCCTCTGGCTCATAAGGTAGAAAGCAATGAGCATCACATGAGATCTGTCATTTTCATCTTGATGTCACAGATGGTGGAAGGATGAAAACTACGCTGCCATTTCGTTATGAGATTTGCCTGTTGCTGCAGATTGTTTCTCCCTAAGATCATCCTCCAGGATATGTACTTAACTAAAAACTGATGTTAATAGAATATGGAGTCACAAAAGGGCCTTTGTCTGCTAAGAGAGAGAAACCATCCCAAGGTGGGGTGGGCACTGTGGCTCACTCCTGGAATCCTAGCTACTTGGGAGGAAGAAATAGGGAGGGTCACAGTTTGAGGTGAACCTGGGCAAACAGTTCATGAGACTCTATCTCAATCAATTCCTGGGCATGTGGTGTGCACCTGTCATGCCAGCAAGGGTGAGAAGCGTAAAATAGGAGAATTGCAGTCCAGGAAAATGAGAGACCTTATCTCCAAAATAACCAGAGCAAAAAAGGCTGGGGGCATGGCTCAAGTGGTAGAGTGCCTGCCTAGCAAGCCTGAAGCCCTGAGTTCAAACCCCAGCACTACCTGTAGATATACACATCTGTCTGTCTATTTATCTATTTATCTATCTCATTCCAAGGTAAAATATAGAGGTCATTTACAACCTGGGTTTTCCTTCTATGGACATGCAAGATGACAGTTGGAAGAGAGAGCTGTGCAACCAATGAGCACTTTCTGTTGGGTTTACTGCATACAGGTAACAGAAACTGCTCAAACTGAGACCAAGGAACTCGTGCCTACATACAGCTTTCTCATCTGTGACTTCCTGTGTTGGCACGTGCTATTTACCTACAAAGCCCTTCCATTCATTCATCAGACAAGTCTCTGAAATAAATATCACCTGTTCTGGGAGATTTTTCTCTTATGGCTTCCCATCTTTGTGATCTTGTGAACTTTGAACACAGTGCTACCAGACCTTGTTTCTAGGTATGACAACTGTGCCTCTAGCTTGTTTCAGTGTGAATGTATCTGGAGGTGGTTTCTGCCAGTCTTTGCAGTCCAGAACAGTGTCTGGCCCATTTTTTTTTGTTAGTGCTCATAATTCTTGGTAGTTGAACAGAGTTGGGAACTTTTGCTGAAATTGTTCTAAACTTCACAATGGATATCTAAAATTGAACAGAATTCACTTAAATTCAATGCAAATGAATGCAACCAAGACAAGACAATCATAAGAGACCTGGGTCTTCACACATCTGGTGACTAGGAGAGCCAGTCATGAAATGACCTCAAGCCTGCACCTCATAGATCACCTGTCTTCTTCACTACTGTGGCCAAGCTACTTGGTAAATAAAAGATGTCTCAGATCTCTGATTTCTTCCACATCTTTCTAATGATACTTTGAAGTATCTTTGAACATCCCTGTTTCTATGGAAGCTCTTGGTGAATGAACCTATTTCCCTTGGGGAGAAATCACCATTTGTTAGACAATATCATCCTTGTGAATTTCCCAAGGAGGCTCAGAAATAACCAGAAACTATATTACCTAGTCAGGAAGGCAGCATATGAGTTTTAAAAAGCCAAAAGTCTTAATGTAGTGGACAAATAAGAATTTATTTTGGGTTCTGAAAGTGGGAAAAACTACAGAGGGTGGGGGAGGGGGCAGGAGGGAGAAATGACGCATTAAATTTTTAAAAATTTAAATTAAAAAAAAAAAAACCTAGAGACTGCAGAATGACTGGCTAAGCCAGTTCACCGTGGGCCACAGTGAGCCATTCTGTTAAGTAGCATACACTAGAGTTTACTTCACTGTACATTAAAGAATGCCAGAAATAAAAGGTAGGTTTTTTCCAGGTGCTATACACTACTTTGGAAATCGTTTTTAACTTAAGGATTCTACCCATATTCAGGAAATTCGTTAGCTGAATTCTTCATTCTGATATCTTAGAAATACCACATAGCTCTTCTGATCTACGAACCCTGTCCTCTCTTCCTAAACGACTTCCTCTCACTTTTTTCCCTGAAGATTCCATGCACTCTTACAAGACTCTTCCCAATTCCTGTTACCTTTTTTCACATGTCTAAATATATCAAAATAACTTAGTGTTAATGATACATATAGTAAGAAAGACAGGAAGAGGAACAGACTTGTAACAATAAAAGGGCCCAGGTAGTGAGCTTGCTGTGTTTATGACCAATTGATTATATGGCGATCATATCATCATATAACCACAACGTATGATCGAGATGGGGATCAACTGTGTTATGTACTATTAGGGCTCAAGTGATTCATCTTTTCTACTGCCAGTATAACTCTGTGTGTGTGAGTGTGTGTGTGTGTGTGTGTGTGTGTGTGTGTAGATACACAGATGGATGGATGGATGGATGGATAGATGGGTGATCACTGATGGCTATTTTAAGCCCTGTCATTTAGAAGGCCTAGTCCTGCCTTTACCATATTTTTGAAACTATAGTTCTGAAATAGAATTTCTAAAACATATTAAGAAACAGATACATTTACCACAGCACCACACTTGAACCCATAGGTGCTGCTGTAACAGACCTTTTCTCACATCAAGCAGCAAGAAAAGCTTTTCTGTACTAATTACAATACCTATCAAGTCCTCCTGCTGGCAGCCAGGGTGAGGGAGCCATTTCTTGATGGCTAAATCAGGTTAGAACAAACAAGGGCAGCATCAAAACAGGGCTATCAGTCACTACTGCTGGTGTCCCCATTTCCCCTCCTGACCCACCCTTTCTATCTGCATCATCCAGCATGTTCAGTTTTTCCTCTTCCCTTTCCCGCTCAAAGCTTCATATCCTTTCTCAATACTGCTTCAGGCAGCCACTGTCAATTAACTAGTTTGCTTTATTATCCTGAGTTAAGGGGAAATAACATAAATATTAGGTATAAAGTGTTTTGAAAGCACACCCAGCCATTTGTCACTGAGGCAGACAATAAAGTTCTCTCCACTTTCGAAGTGCATAGGTGTGAATTATGGGGGATGAAAGTTCTTTCTACTCTTACACCTTTCTATTGCAATTGTCTAGCTGTATTACTGGTGATGATGACGCTGGGATGCGATCAATCCACTGGACATATACTAGAGAGGAGTTAAGAGTGGCTTTATTCCTAAGAGGAACATTGAAGACTTGTAAGGATACAAGGAGTCAATGCAGCCTAAGAAGAAAGCTAGAAATAGAAAAGCATTTTTAGCTCAGTACAGTGCAATGCAAAATTAGTTCCAGAAATGGGTCAAAAGGAAACCAAGTACATCTGCAAATGTATTCTTTTCACCATTCTAGAATACTGGAGCTTTTCATTTGAACCTCTATCTGTTTTAGTCACAGGAAAATGAAGGAGAGCAGGGCAGGATGGGAGGTGGACAGGATTGTTAAGTAACAGATCCTTGGATTGTTGTCTGGAACCCTTTCCCTTTTAGCCAATACTGGTTTTCAGAACCTTCCAAAATCACTTCTCTAGAGAAACAGCTCTCATACATATGGATTAGGACTTAGAAGTATTTTGAGATATCAAACCAATACATGTAAGCATTACATACACAATCAGGGGAAGGTTAAAATATTCATAGTGGTCCATCAGTCAACAAAGCACTCACAGTACTTACCACGTGTCCAGCATTGTCAGCTACAAACAGCAGGCAGACACAGCACTTATTCCCCAAACCCTGAGCTCAGCAAGAGTAATGAAAGTTGTCAGACCTCTTCCTCCTGTCACATTCTATAATCAAACTGGCAATGTTTCAAGTTTTTAGAAAGAAGGAAAAAACATTTCCACTCTGTTTTTGTTGATGGGGCAGCTAAGATAGAATATTACAAGAATTTTCTGAGCCACAGACAGACAGACTGTTGGGTCAGAACCAAACTCCTGACTCTCACACTTGAGCCACTTTGAGTGATCTTTGTCTTCTTCCTGGTCTCTATTTTCAGCTTTATTCTAGTCTACAAGAATATTTCAGATTTATCAGTGTTGAGGTTGGGGATACAGAGCTCAGAGACAGCGTGCCTGCTTACCATATGTGAGGCCATAGGTTTAATCCCAGCACACACAGAAAAAAGGGTATAAGTACTGACTTTTTTATTTTATAATCTGGACTATTACTTCAATGGACTCATCCTAAAAGAGGCTTTTTAGCATTTTTAATAAGCCCTGGCTCAAGTACTTTTGTTTTCATGGAAACATAAACACCTCTACGAAAATATTTTTCCCAGATAAAAAGACTGGTACTTTACCCATGTTCATGGCAGTATTATTTGCAATAGCTAAAAGGCAGAAGCCACCCAAATGTCCACAGAAGAATGGGTAATCCATTCAGAAAATGAGGTGTATATGTATAATGGACTACTACTCAGCCTTCAAAAGGAAGGGAATTCTGATGCAGACTGCAATCGTCATGAACCCTGAAGACACTATTTTAAGTGGAACAAGCCCAGTAACCCAAAGGAAAAATACTGCATGGTCCCATTTATATGAGATAGCTAGGATATTCAAATTCATAGAAACAGAAAGTCAATTTGTGGTTGCCAGGGCTTGGGGGGGAGGAGGAAATGCCTGTTGTTGTTTGGTGGGCATATATAAGCTTTACTTTTGCAAGATGGAGAAATTCTAAAGATTAGTTACACAGCAATGTAAAAATATTTAACATGGTTGAACTGCACATTTAAAATGGTTAAGATGATCAAATTTATATAATATCTATTTTACCACATTTTTTAAAAAGTCCCCCCAAATCTGCTACTTACCTCATTGTGCTATTAATTTTTTTTTTAAACTTTCCTTATAGCTTCAGTGCTTGATAGGAATGGGCTGTCTTGGCACTATTGAGGAAAATCAAAGAATTTTCTGTGAAGTTTTTGTCAATCAGCAGGAAATTAGAACATGCTATCATTGGCATTTTTCATAGGCTTTGAATTATTTAAAAATTATAATTAGCTACTCTAATTATAAAAATTCTCTAAAAATTACTCCTAGGCAATGGGGTATATAACGGCTTTGTGCAACTGCCGTATTTTTGTTTGTAATCTTTTTTTGAGGGTCCGGAAGCAGAATGGACTGATGTCATTCCAACTATCTACTGCTTACCCAGTAGCACATTTGAAACCAGAGCACATGTGCCACAGTGTAGAGCCTCTGAACATGCAAGCAATTTGCATCAGCATTCAATTTCTGGATGTCCATATATCTGTAGTGTTACCCACTACCACGGTCCTTTAGTCACCATTGGAAGCATCTAAAATACCAAGTAGGGCTGCAGATGAATGGCAGGGTAGGCTGCTGAGGACAGATGGCATCGGCCCATTCTTGCTGGCTGGTGCTAAAAGGGAGCTGGAGACCAGCCTGGGGATGAGTTTCTGCCCCTTCATCCTCTCTGCGTTCATTCCTCAGTCCTTAATCACATGTCTGAACAGCTGTTTTTTTTTTTTTAACCCATGAGTAGTTAACCGAATGCAATTAATTGATAATATAAAAATATTTAAAAGTCCACAGTAAAAATACATTAATTTGAAAATGTTCATTACTGTAGTTTGAAATCTTACAAGCCCATTTAACCTTGTAACATAAGAAGGAACTAGGAATTCTGACTGAGATTTCCAAGATTCTTCATTTGATTGGAAACTTGCAAGATAAGGAGCAAGAACTGCTTTTGATTTTTCCAAAATCACGTTCTTTTCATGATAAAAATGATCGGAAAGGATGGATTAGTGTATACAGAAAGACTCATTGAGTGACAGGTGCCCCTTCACTGCTCCAGACCACCTCTTGTGCAAACTTAAACATCACACGGTTCTGAAATACTGGACTGATCTGGCTGTCACTGTCTCCTACTCTTCACGTCATCTTCTCTGCATAAGATTCTTCCAGGGGAAGAACTTTGGCTTATCTGGCCTAACAGCCCCAGTGCCCAGCACAAAGCATGGCACATACTCATTTAAAATGACTTTGAAAGAATAAAAAGAATCCAGCTTTGACATAACAACATATCTAGGCTAACAGGTATGGGACAAGTATTATTTAAAGATAAAGAAGTGAGGCACAGAGGAAATTTTTCTACTCGTAGAACTTTACCTGATTTAAGCAGTGTCCATCTACACGTCAGCGTGCAAATAATAACGTTGTTAGTATTGAATTTGGTCACAATGCTCTCTAGGACTTAAAGATGCAATGTAGCACTGCCGATCTCTGAAAGGAGAAGGTCCTTCTGGAAATACCGATCTTATATCTTTGGGGGTGGGGTGTGCTGGGGAAAATTGGGAGTCTCTGGAAATTGATCGAATTGATATTAACTTTGGTTCGTATTTCAAACTATTCTATGAAGGGCAATGTAGATTTCTCTATAAACAGCTAAGCAATCTCAAATTTGTAGCAGAACAGAATACAAAAACAGACTCAAATTGCACCTGATTTTGATGAGCTGAGAGCATGCTGGAAATCAACTGCTAAAATTTCATTATTTCTATATACCCCCACCAACATCATATTGAAACAAGACAGTTCAGGGAGAAAAATTCAATAGCAATGGAAGTAGTCACCATGAAACTACCTAGTTTGCATCCAATCAAGGGTTCCCCAGCAATGCAGTAAAACTCAAAGTCTATTGCCAATACAAAAGCCTCCTAAAAAAAGTAAATGCTACACATTGAACATATTTCTGTTTAAATTAAGATCATGAAATATACGTTAAGAAAGGCAGACAAAAATGCTCTTCCCAGAACCTGTTTTGTAGCACCTTAGCTGTTTTTAACACAGCAGTTTAAAACATCATGCTATGCAGAATAACTACATTAGATTTTCAAAAAGCCAACCACCAAATGACTACGCAAAGTTCGAAGGCCGAGAGCAGAACACATGGATCTGTCCTCACGGCAACGAGAACATTTTAATAATAACGCGAAAGCATTTTGCAGCCTCCTCACCTCGCGTGCAGAAGACTGCGGGGGGCCGGCCGATTTATTTGCTTGCAGCTTGGTTAGCAGAAAACGCAAGGGATGTCTCGCTCGCTCTTTCTTTTAATTTTTATTTATTTATTTTCCCCCTTCATCCAAGCAGCGTGCTTCCACCCAGCCTCTCTCGCTGGATCGACAACCTGGGACACGCTCCGCCCGCAAAGTGAGCGCCTGGAGCAGGGGACAGTCCCGAGTGGCCGGGCCACCCCTCCCGGTCGGTGACGCTCCGCTTCCTGTCGGACTAAAAGGCATTCCCGAGAAGCTCGGTTTTGTAGTTTCCAGCCCACCTCCGACAGCCAGCCCCTCTCCCCGTCCGTAACAACGCTGATCACGCACGTGACCGCGGCCCGCACGTGTCTGACCCTGGCAGTGAGGTCCTGAGGTCAGCGGCCAAGGCTGCGCCGGGATGACCTGGAAGCGAAAGGGACGTGCACCAGTTTCAGCGTTTAGGGCTTTCTAGAGATTGCAATTGTCGTGAAAGCAATGCCGGAGCCAAATCTCAATGCGACAACCTCGTTGGATGTCTTTGTAAGGGACTTCTTGAAATACCTTTAAGTCTTTCTTTAGGTTCAATGATCGCCTCCCGCCAAACCACACCTGCGCTTCCCACGCATGGCCGGCCTTACACGTGGCCGCCTGCATTCCTGCAAAGCGATCCACTGCGTGGGGAGATAGTGTCCCGAGGGGGTTAATGGAAAGGGGGCGGGGCTGGGCTCCGGCGCATCCGGGAACACGGGTGATGGGCGGCCCGGTGGGTGTGAGCAGGCTCGGAGCCTCCCGGCCCCCGGTCTGCCCGACTCAGCTGCTACTTCTTTTATTTATTTATTTATTTATTTTATTTATATGTGCATACAAGGTTTGGGCCATTTCTACCCCCTTCTCCCCGCCCCCTCCCTCTCTCCCTCCGTACCCCCTAACTGCTACTTCTTTCCGCTAGCTCAGCCACAGGCCCTACCCGGCCCGCCGCAAGCCCCGCCCACAGCAAAGCCCCGCCCACACTCGCTGAGGCCCCGCCCGCGGCCCCGCCTCCTCCTTTCCCGTCCCAGGACGCGTTGCGCGGCCCGGGCCGGAAGTCGGCGAGTTCCCGGGTGTGCGCGTCTCTGTCTGTCTGTCTCGCGGCGCCGCGCGGCTGCGGCCAAGCTCCGGGGGTTCCCGTCTGAGGCGTCACCGCTGTCACTGCCGCCACCCCACCGAGCTAGTGCTAGAGGGGACTAGGCCCGGCCCTCCGCCGGGCGGAGAAGATGTTGCCCCTGTCCATCAAGGATGACGAATACAAACCCCCCAAGTTCAATCTGTTCGGCAAGATCTCGGGCTGGTTTAGGTGCGGGATGCAGGCTTGCTGGGAGGGGGTGTCGGGCACAAGGAGAGGAAGAAAGTCCAGATTTAAAGCTGGCCCGAGGGCAGGAAGGGAGCGCCAGCCCCCACCCCCGGGCCGCGTGTGGACAAAGGGGGGGGGGACCCAGCCTCCGGGGTCCCGGCAGCCCCTTGAGTCCCGCGTCTCCCCCGCTTGTGTCCTGCCCAGGTCCATCCTGTCCGACAAGACGTCCCGGAACCTGTTTTTCTTCCTGTGCCTGAACCTCTCTTTCGCTTTTGTGGAACTCCTCTACGGCATCTGGAGCAACTGGTAAGTAAAGGGGAAAAGGGTTGGGGCGGAAGCCGGGGCGGGGGACCCGGCTGTTTGCCGAGTGCCACGTCGCTTCTCACCCCAGGCTCAGGTCCTACCTGTGGCACCACCTCTGTCTGCCCTGGGCAGGTAGAGTTGCATTTCTGACGATCCAAGGCCTCTCCCGTCAGTGGCCTTCCCGTCCCTCCAGCCCATCAGACAAGACTGACAAGCCCTCTCCTCACCTGGGCAGCTGCAGAGCCCCCCTCAGACTCTGCACGCCTTAGCTTTGCCCCCTTGTCGCTGGGGGAATCCTCAGAATCTTCTGTTCCCTGCCTCTTTGTGGGAGTGGCATTAGGATTTCACCTTTGAAGTTCTGAGAGGCAGTGTCTTAGATGTTCTGTTCAGTTTGTCATTAGGTCTCTGAGTGACCTTTGGAGAAGCCTATGAAGGGACATCGTGGGGGAAATGTTTGTCGTTTTCTTTTTAATTTAATGCTGAAGCTTTCATAATTGTCTCTCGTCTCAATGGCAGTAGAAAAATGCCATACAGTTTTCTAAAACTACCTTTGAGGTTGATGGTTTTTGATATCACCTTTGGTTTCTTTGTTGTTGTTGGTTTTTTTTTTGAAACTGCTTTGGGAAAAAGAGTAAATCCAATGTGACTACAGAAATGAAATTAACTTTTTCAGGTATTTGCTGTTTAACTACTTAAAGTCTTGTGAAATTTTTCTGCTAACAATAGCACTTGTACTAACTCCATTTTCCATCTTATACCCATTAAAAATGGTAGAAGAATGAAAGGGTTGGGCACTGCGGCTCATGTCTGTAATTTCAGCTGCTTGGAAGGCAGAATCAGGAAGATGAAAGTTTGAGACCAGCCTGGGCAAAATGTTAGCAAGCCCTCAGTCTCAGCCAACAATTAAGGTGTGGTGTGCATCTGTAATCCCAGGTACTAAGAGGATCTCAGTCTGAGTCTGGTGAAATTTAAACCCTATGAAGCAAAAAAAGACTGGGGGTGTGGCTCATGTAGTAGAGCATATGAAGCTCTGAGTTCAATCTCAGTACTGCAAACAAAGAAACAAATTTACCAAGCATGAGGCCCTGAATTCAAACCCTAGTACGGTCTCCTCCCCAGTTACCTGATGAAAGGACTGGAGATATAGCTCTGTGGTAGAGCACTTACACAGGAGGCCTTGGGTTCCTCATCACAAAAAACTAAACAAAAAAACAAAAACCAGTGTAGTGAAAGAGAACGCTCAGAATTTTACATAAAACTTTAGGGTGAAATAGACCTCAGACACCAGATTAAAAGCCTGTGCTATTTATGGTTTTTTTTTTTTTTGTATTAATTAAATAGATTCAGTCTCTGTCCTTTCAGATCCATTTGCAGAAGAAAATAGTGTTTGATCTTTATTTCTATTGAGATTGAACAATGACATTAGATACTGTAATGTAATGACATTAGATACATCTGTACTCTTAAAATGAAAAAGTGGTTTTCAACTGAATTGTCAATTGAGTTGTATCAAAATTATTCAGTAATCAGCAAGCTATTAAAGGTTATTGGTTTTGTCATCATTTAGGTATAAAAGGTATATTGACACAATTAAATCTCAACATATTGCATAACCATTTGGAAATCTGTGGGAATTGTGAGTGTGTGTGTGTGTGACTGGTACCCAATCATACATTGAGGTTTTTTTTTAATCACATGAAATTAACACCCTTCAATGTACTGTAGCTGTTAAAAGTACTGTAGTTTTAACTTGTATTTGAATAATTGTCCTTTAATTATTAACATACAGTATTTATAATTTATTTTACATTTTCTTTGTTTAAAATTATGCCATGATTTTAACATATGAGCTAATTGTATCTTGGCTGTATTGTGGCTCATATATTCACATCTTGCTTCAGTTACTTTATATTGCAATACATGATATTTCACTATGCCCCTTTTATTATCATCAACTTATTGTTGAAGGGCTTCATATATGAAGTATCTCAACTACCTCTAGGTGTTGGAGAGTTAAGTGTATAGTAACTCTTTTGATCTATGCAGATCAACTAAGGAAAGTACTTCACCCCTTACTTTCTGTGTTATCTGTCAGTGTACATAATTATATAAGGAAAACAGCAGCAGTAGGTGACTTGTTCTTCTGCCCTTAGGTGACGTGTTCTTCTATACCCTTCCGGCTTATTCTTTCATTGTGTTGTTATGTCTTCCAGATTTGAAATGTACCTCTGCTGTCTGTCATACTATGATCATTTAGCAAGTATTTTTCTTCTTGTGCCTGTGTATGTTAACTTCCATATACACAGTTACTTATTCCCCAGTATTTATTTTATCAGTGGATGTGAGGTTCAAATCAGTTCCCATTGATATTTGGATAGATTTAGAAATTACTCTGGTCTTTCAGTAATGTGGTGTTTTATACTATATGGACACCAGAATTTTTTGTCAATTTTAACAATTCAATAATGTCTTTGTATGGTTGGATTATCTCTGTGTTTATAGGTTCAGTTAGCTTTTAAGTTCCTTGAGTAAATTTCTCAGCAAAACCCACTTTGACTTAGTCATTTCTGTGTTCAGCCTCATTGTATAAGGATAAGTTTTGAGTTGTTAAGAACATGAACTATCAAAAATGTTTTCCTCATAGATTAAAATGTTCTTCACAAATAAGTTTCATAAAAACAATTGCTGTAGTTGCAAAAAATACTAAATCGTTGTGGGTCTTGTTTGGGGTCTTCATGTTAGAGAAGAGCTTAATTATAGTTGATTTACATTTTTGATGGTAAGAAGATGTCTTCAGCAGAGGAATAGATAAGCTCTTTGTGTACTTTTCCCCATTAAATACCCACTTCCTTTCACCTTTTAGCTAGAATGTAAACTGTGTTAAAGCATGGCTCTTTTCCTGTCTTCTTCAGACACCTTAATATATATTACATAATACATATTTGCTGAATGAAAAAATGAGGGAAAATTGACTGTGTAGAATTAATTTATCCATACTAGACATGCTAACTACCTGTTAGAGGAAAGCAAAAAACAAAACGCAAAACATGAAGCTCCTTCCTTCATTCTTAGATGTTAGTAGGAACGTTATATGTGTTTTTTTGTTCTTGAGTGCTTTTACTTCTAGTATTTTATTATCATCAACTTATTTATTGTTGAGCAACTGTAATCTCAAGGTAATGAAAGAATGGTTTTGTACCATCAAGGCTTGTTTTCAAGTTATAGAAGAATTCCAAATAGTTTTTGCTTCAACAAGATAATACTTTATTTCTAATATGGCTAGTAGAGTTCCAGCTGATCCTTGCATCAGAATGTCTGAGTGTAGAGAAACAGGGCATAAAGTGTGCTCATTGTCCTTTAAGGAGGTTTATCTAGATGCAAACATATAACGCTTTCATTACAGCTTCATCACATGTTGCAAATGTGGTCTATTCTGTCAACCATGTAGTCTGCTCATAATCAAAGATTCTTTACTAAGGAAGAAAGGGAATATGCAGGCACCCTAGGTTCAGAAAATGGAGCTGGAGAAAGAGACAACTAATCTATAACATCTTCTACCCAAAGTAGCAGCAGGGCCTGCAGCACCTGTTATCTGTTTTTTTTTTTTCTCTTTCCCCACCATGCTTTAGTTTTTCTCTAGGATCTCAGTATATTTTGGTTTATTTGTTTTTATGTTCTTCTGTTGTATTTTTACTTCACCACCTATTTAAAAATTTAATTTTAGTTGTATTATTTACCAAAACTATTGGAACCATTTTTCCCTTAGACACAGAAGAAACTTGGGTAACTTTCAAGGTTAATGTCTTTGTATTAATAAAGTAAATATTTGTTCAAGAAATAGGACAATAACAGGCTTTTATTTGGTTCTACTTTTATGTAATATGTCTTTGCAGAAGTTTGTAAAATGATTCCTTGGTAAACCAAATTGATTCCATCATCACATATTTTTCTATTAAGTAAAAGTTTTTATATATCTTAGTATTTTATCAACTTTTCCCCTCTGAAAAGGCAGCATTACTTACCAGTAATGGTGGTGTCTTTTGCTTTCCTTTAGTTTTATTTTTTACCTTAAAAATTTACATTAACTATTCCATTTTGCTAAGCTTTTTAAATTAGGGTTTATAAAATGGAGTTGTGAGTTATTTCACTGCAGCTAACTTTATTAATGTTAGGATTCTAAGGATTTTTTAATTTCTTAATAATAATTTTATAGTTAAAATTTCCTCCTTTTTCTACCTTATGGAAACCAGCTTGGTAAGGGTTTATGAATTATCATGGCCTCTTATTTTCAATTGTGAAAAACAATATGAACATACTATTAGTTTGGTTACTACTTAGGTACCAGTAGACCTTTTAAAAGACTTCTGATCATGGAAAATTTTAAGCATATATAAAAATAGAGAGTTTAATGGACTTCATGTATCCGTCACCCAGCTTTAACCTTTATCAACACATAGCCTATTTCATTCCATTGATTATTCCTTTCCCACCATTGGAGTGGTTTAGGCAGATGCAAGATAGAATTTTTTTTTCCCCATAACTACTTTGAAATGGTTCTCTAAAAGCTAAGAGCCACTCCTTTTATTTTTTTATTTGTATTTTTTATTGTGCTGGGTGAGAGTACATTCTGGGATTTAAAAAGTTCTTATAATATATCAAATATATCATAATTGAAGTCACCCTCCATCATTCTTCTCTATCCCTCCCTCCCCCCATTCCTGGAATAGTTTCAGTAGGTATCACTTTGTGTTTTATACATGTGTACACAGTATTTGGATTATATTCACCGTCCTACACCCTTTCCCCACCTCCTCCCCTCCACTTGTACCCCCCTCACAGGACCTGTTCCACCCTCCTGTTCTGTGATTTTGTAAAAGAAAAATAAAATGACATTTTTTGTTTGTTTAAGATAGCTATACATAGTTTCCTTGTCCTTTTAAACATAGCCCTAAAACCATTATCATCCATAAACACAAATGATTAGTTAGTCTCAGCTGTCCAGT